CACCCCACCCCACTAACACCCCTACCCCACCCCCACAACTGTGCCATAGTTACGGAATAATTACGTCGGCATGAAGGCAGATGTAAAAACGTAATGCCGGCGCCAAGTGGCGAGGTTGTTATAAGTGCATTGGCGTCAATAATCAATAAACAAACAGAAAACAAAGAATAATGAAAGAAGTGTTATTTTAAAAAGAAAAGAAACTTGCTTGAATGAAATTAGCAACAGGGAGATCGCAGAAAAATAAAATACCTTGTGAAATGTTGAAATACAGCAGCTTAACAATGATAAAATCTCTACAAACAATATTCACTAAGATCTGAGAAACTGGGCAATACCCGGACAACTGGAACATTGGTGTATATAACAAACAGTTATATAGAATACGTTTACCTGCAGGTTCTTTGTTGCGCTGTTCAGTCGCACTGTGGTTGTCGATGATTGGTAAAAAGGTATGGGGTTGTGAAACTTGTACAACAACTTTTCTAAGAAAAGTTTTGTCATAAACTTTCCTTGATGTAATCGAAAACTCCCCAAGTCATTGAATAATATACACCAACGCAGTCCATTCACCATCCATTGTTATGGTTTCTACTTTGTGTCACCCAGTACTGCTTGAATAAATTTGATTGGGATAATACAAAATGTTCTATTAATAAACTACGGTGGCCCACAAGTGACAAAATATATTTAATTCATCGCGGCAAAACTATTATTTCTCGGCAAAAGACTATTACTTTGCGGCAAAACTACACAATATGACGACAAAACTCTATTACTTCGCGACAAAACTTTATCACTTCACAGCAAAATTCAATTATTTCACGGCAAATCACTATTACTTCACGGCAAAAGTATATTATTTCACGGCAAAACAATATTACTTCACGGCAAAACACTACTACTTCACGGCAAAACTATATTATTTCACGGCAAACACCATTACTTCACGACAAAACTATATTATTTCACGGCAAAACTCGGTTATTTCACAGCAAAACTTTAATATTACTTCACGGCAAAACTATATTCTTTCACGGCAAAACACAATTACTTTACGGCAAAACTAAATTATTTCACGGCAAAACACTATTCCTTCACGACAAAACTATATTATTTCACGGCAAACACCATTACTTCACGACAAAACTATATTATTTCACGGCAAAACACTATAATTACTTCACGGCAAAACTCCACAATTTGAAGGCAAAACTTTAATTAGTTGCGGCAAAGCCATGTTACTTCGCAACAAACACAAAATAAAGTTTATAAAAATACCAGCTTGAAGAATATTAGTTGTTGTTTCAAATTTCGCCGAAGCCTTACCTGTATTTTACCGATATATGCAGAATAATTCAAGAAAACTACACAAATTGACTACATTAACGAATATTCTAACGGTCAACGGAATGCTCAGCACAGTTGGAGGCGTGGCCTATTCAGAATGTGTCAAGAAAACCAATCACAAGACTGGTTACGAACCACTGCGATTTCACGAAACGGTAATCTGTGTTTTATGAATTTTTATAGATTTAATTTTTCATTCTTTGCATCTGATTGTTCCAGTTTTAAAATTATGGGCTCGCTGGAGTCTTCATCCCTTGTCTATTTCTTACATAAATACCAGCCGATAAACCACCCCACCCCACCCCACCCCCAATCACAGAGACTGCGTACAGTCATTGATTATATAGTTCATGGGCTCCCTGTGGTTTCTGTCAAAAGAAGCATGCTGCGCCACTCTGTAGCGCAAACCACATGCTCAAACAAACTGACCCTTCGAGGTACTTGGATAGCGTTCCCAGTTGTGTTGGATATTAACACGAAGCGCGGCATTGCTATGCATACGATGTTGCAGCAGACAGCGGTAGTGATCACAGTTACTTCCAGTGGTCATCCTATATTAAAACATTACACCACGTGCATTCTTGCTAAAAAATAATAGGCCCCCAAGGCTGGCAGCACATTGGCAAACCATACCCCCTCTTTCGGACGCAATGTAAATTTAGTACCCCCGAGAGCAGACATATTGAAGAAAAAAACACCACCGGAGTGAAGCCATCCGCCAGTCAGAGTAGTCGCCAAGCGCATCCGCCAGTCAAATTTTTTTCTGTTCATACAAAATAAAAAAAGTTACCTCTTTTTATAATCGCTGGTTCATACGGCTGTGGAAACCATTAAAAAATATTTTTCGTAAACATGACATTGACAATTTTTAGATAAAATTCATAAAACACGCTTACATTATCTAGCAATAAATAATCTTCAGTATCTATATAGTATAGAAATTATTTCAGACCTTTGGCACAATCATTATTTTGGTTGGAATTTGCAGTCAAAATGACGATGTTTAGATTCATATAACACGCTAACATTCCTCCCGACTTCAGGCGATCACAACCACAGTTTGAAAATCGATACACACGAACTAACTAGTAATAAATAATCTCCAGTATCAGTATTATAAGGAAAGTATTTCAGACCATTGGTACAATCATTATTTTGGTTGGAATTTCGGGTCAAAATGACGATTTTTAAGTCAAATTTATAAAACACGCTAACATACCTCCGGAATTCGGGCGATTACAACCACAGTTTGAAAATCGATACACACAAACTAACTAGTAATATATAATCTCCAGTATCTATATAGTATAGAAAATATTTCAGACCTTTGGCACAATCATTATTTTGGTTGCAATTTGGGGTCAAAATGACGATTTTTAGTACAAATTCATAAAACACGCTAACATTCCTCCCGACTTCAGGCGATCATAACCGCAGTTTAAACATCTATATACACGAACTAACTAGTAATACATAATCTCCAGTATCTATATAGTATAGAAATTATTTCAGACCTTTGGCACAATCATTATTATGGTTGGAATTTGGGGTCAAAATAACGATTTTTAGATTAAATTTATAAAACACGCTACAATTACAAAGGTAATATTATATTGGCTTCAAAGCCCGGTAAAGTAAAGGAATTCTCGACAAACAACCAAAAAGTTGGAGATCTATTACAAGGCTTGCCCGATACATTCGTTGCTATTGTGGACGATGTAACAGTCACATACACGTTTGTACGTGCTGGACCTGCAAGTAAAGTAATTAGATTTCATATATATTTCCATACAATTAAGTCCCTTTTCTGCTGCTCTGTTCATTTCCTTCATTGAATTTTTAGTTAACAACTTTGAAAATGTCAACTTTACTCCCACTACCCGGCCAATATGCAATATGTCTTTACCCACAGCATATCTCGCAACTATTTGGCTACATAAAGTTGTGCCATAACGTTCCACGTTCGTACTATTCTAGTAACAGTTTAATTTTCTTTGCGTCAATTTTTTCACCGCAATTGACAACTCTTTCGTATCTCTCTCTCCTCTCTTGGTTTTTATTTCGTATCTTAGTTTAAATCTACTTTTCACTGAAATCTTGCCGAACATTTTTCCCATTTCAACGTTATTTTTTACAACTATGATCGGGATATCTTTCTCCCCTGGGGTTCTTCACACGTGCCAGGGGGAATACAAGACTGTCTCTACATCACGTCCCCTTGAGGTGCGGGATCGGAAAAGTCACTTAAACCTTACAGTCAAATAAGACACACACAACAAAATACGTTTCAGCTCTCATCTTTAGTTGGTCAGTCGAGTACTCTATAAGACACAGCGCCCTGGGGAAAAGTCCCCAAGACTATCGCAAGGTTGACCCAAGACTCTCCTAGACTGCGTCAAGACTAGCCCAAGACTGCGTCCCTCCTCGTGTACTCGCCAAGACCAACTAAAACAACTTTATTCACTTACAAAGCCTTAACCAATTACAAAGAAGTATTAAGACTCTAGGGCGTAACCTTCAATCATAAAGCCAATCACACTAAGTACTGAACACGTCATATCTTTTGATTAAATTGTTCACTATATCACTAACTGCGAATACCAACTGTCAAAAATAGTAGTTCGGATAGCGACGGTTATATCGTAATTAGTTCCAAATCATTGAACCAAGTTCCATCCAGAATCTCGCATGGGCCTAAACGATGACAGATATAATGTCTATTCGCTAGTAATCAGCCAAACAAGTCGATCAACAGATACGCAAAACAAATTCATCACACAACCCTAAACTACGATGTTTTCGGATCTGCCACGCTGGTTCCCGCCTTCAAGTTCATTTATTCTTTGTTACATTTCTCCGTTTAGTGTGAAAATCAACATCTTGGTTCTCCGTGATTACATTGGTTTGAATCTCTCCATCTAAACTGAAATTGCCCACTTGCTAATCGGCTTTTAACCTTTTAAAAATGCTCAACACATCCTATACAACGTAGCTTTAGTTTCTTTCAAAAAAAGTTATTTTTAATTAATATTGATTTTCGTATATTCAGTAAATAATAATCTTCGTCTACACTTGTAATTTGTCACAATTCCACCCACCCACTTGTGAAAACCACGTTTTCAATTTTATTCATTCATTGTTTCATTCATTCATTACAGTGCAAGCAACAAACAAAAGTTATCTTTTTTTTATAACAGGTTTTCCCGCATGCATCTCCATTCAATTACAGTCGGGAGACTATCACAGCACATTTTCATTCACCAGTGGTTAGCTTACCAGATGTGCAGACCAGCCCAAACAAACGTCGTGTTGCTGTAAAAGCTAAAGTCAAAGAAGTATGTATTTTCTCCCTTGGCCAAAAAATATTAAAAATAGTTTTTACTTTTTACTTTTTGTCATAACAAACTAGTAAAATGTTCAGCCCACCATGTAATCATCTCAAATAAGAAACTTTTTGCTAGTAAGTTTGATAAAAGTATAAAACCTGATTTATCAGCTACAGCTTAAACTATTATTTTGGTCAATTTTAAAATGTTTACATTTCTAATCTTTCATGTGTGTAACATAGATCAAAGATATGGTTGTAGGACCACACTACAAAAGAAGCTTGGTAGTTCTAACAGATGGGTTTGATAGAACAGTAGAAATGAAGTTGTGGGGCAAACATGCCGAAAGTTGTACCCTCACTGCCAATGAGGTTGTTTTAGCCAAACCACTAGAAGTCAGTTTGTTTAACAAGAACAAGCCAAGTCTGGATACCACTCAAGATACCTCTATAGAAGGCAAGTATTCTACTGTTTCTTGCTAATTTCAATATGCTCTTTTATATAAACAGACATATCCCAAATATATTATACATTTTTACATCCTACAATACTTAGGCCATATTGCTTTGAATCTAACATGCATATCACCGGTTCATTAATACAATTACTAAATTGTTAATTTCTAGATAGAAGACATGAATCAAGATGAAAACCCAAAACCCGAAAATGTTAAAGTCATTGCATTTACTGACAAGTAAGTTTGTAAAGAGTTTATTTATACTGTACTCCCATTAACTGAATACAATTATAGCAAAAAACATGCTACACTTAATATCTAGCCCAATTCATTGCACTGATTACCATAAAATCAATCAGATGCACACACATTGTCTTTAAACCAAAATATACTAATACCATCAGAGAAACGAAAGTAATTTTTGTAAACCTTATCCAGCAACATAAAGCTGACAAAACATTTATATTAATTGTAAGCATAAATCATAAAGGTACTCTACAATATAGCCATAGTTCATTAAAGTGGTTTCCTGTACACTTCTTAAATTACACATGTGTATATTTCGCATTCTTTGTTGCATCTGAAATACCAGTTTTCCTTTACAAGCTTGTATTTTCTTCGCTATATTTTTTATGTTTCTAGTGAAATACTTACTGAAGATGGCTGTGCATTGAAAAATGATTTGCCGTTCTCGGTGAAACTGACCATCACTGGAAATGCAATTACCGAAGTTCATGAAGATTAAGAAGCACTGTAAGTTTAACTTTTGGTAAAAAAGTTGTTATTGTTTATTTCGTAATAATTTTGAGACCTTGCAAAGAAAACACACCATTGGACACTAAAAATCTAATGAGCCACAACAAAAAATGTTCATATTTAAGTTACTAGTGAGTTGGTTTATTAATCGTTTCTGCATAGTTGTTTACCAAACAAATGTAATGTTTTATTTTTCGTTAGTTTTCACAGGGAAGCCATAGAACTGTTATTACAAACCTTATTGGTCCCTTGAAGAGCTGCAACAAAAATGGCAGATCAAATTTTTTTGGCGATGTTTTTGATCTGAATATTACAAGTAAATAAAACTTGTTACATTGTTGTATTCTGAACATAAGTAAATAACTGTTGCTACATTGTTCTATTTCCGAACATTACAAGTAAATAACACTTGTTACATTGCATTTCCGAACAACATTACAAGTAAATAAGTTACATTTCTGAATAAATATAATATTTACAATCAAATAGAGTTGCTTGTTTCCATTTTAAACTAACTCTGATTTAGGCGGGTCACAATAGCACTATTTATTGCTTCTTCCAAAGCAATAAGTAGTACGCAAGGACATACAGGCTTGAGTGGTACCAGGCACTCACTCCTTCAACACAACTCTGCTTGCCGATATCACTGAATTTTTTAAATAGAACTAGCATAGCATTCAATTTTCGCTACAAGATACAAATGAAAATTAAAGTTACTCATACTATGTTACCCGTGTCCATTTTAGTTATTTTTTGGGGTATATTCTGTTTAAAAATCTGCGATAAGAATAGATTCGTTAATACATTGAATGACGCCTGCTGTCGCTTCGCTGTGATTTTGCGTTCCATATGGGCTTATTGCATGCCATATACACTGTTTTTTTACCAAAGTTTTTCCATAAAGTACATATCTTTGCACTTAATTGGATCCAGTCAACATTCTTTTACAGTTTATGGGAAATTAATAGATGTAAATATCCAACTTGGGACATCTATGTTGTATTTAATGATATGCAAATTTTATTAATGCAATCTTTCAATTTAACATCTCTAAATACGTCATGGTAAACACCTAGCTATCAACACTCTCCAAGAACAGCAACAAAAACTCACATATCATTGGAGTTTATATTACAAAGATAACATTTGTTTTAAATTTTAAACAACAGAAATTTCCAAATAAAGTTATTCGGCAGATTCTGCAGTCATGTCACATGCCATCCAATCGAAATACTCGTTATAAATGGCAATTAAATGACTGCATTACTCCTCTAAAGAAAAACAAATGTATCCACTAATGTGATTCGCCCATCATTTAGTATAAATGACTGCTAACAATGCATTTTCCACAATCCCTTTATAATTTACCATTCTCGAGTTTCATTGGAAATTATTTTTGTTGTGTGGAACAATCTTCTAGGTATTGGCTACAATTGTCCCATACTGAACAGCCAGTGACATAACGAGTAAATACTTCCACGTCAACCTCGGCTGATAAATGTATTTCATTATATTGATTCCCGGTAGGTCAGAAAAATTCCATTTATAAAATACTTATCTGATTTAGTAAAAGTGTTTTTGTAACTATAACTATGCCTACCCGCCATACACTTGTGTTTCACACTTCAACGCAAGTATACCCTCTTCCCAGAAAATTTATTAAATAACACTATGGTCTAGCAATGTTTTCATTTTATTCTGAGATCATTTTTGATTAATAAAACATGCTATAAAATGAATTGAAACTTCATTTATCCCCCCCCACACACACACACACTTTCTGGAAAAGTTGCAACAGTAACTTACCAAGTAAATCTAGAGAAACAATGTATCAAATTTTGAAAGTGCTGGGCCTCATCTATTTTTTCGCCGACAGCAAAGCACCTGGTCATCATTCCAGTGCTATACAATACATTTTCACTGCCAGGATCATACAATATTTTCATCAGTTGTCCCTGCCAGAATTGTACAATTTGTTGACACTTGGTCTATGTGCCAGTACTATATGCTTATTATTCCTGATTTAATATACCTGACAGCTGCCCGATTTATCAATATTTTATACCTGCTCACTATGCCTGCATTTTTTCACTGGACTACTATCATTTTGTTGGGCATTCCACGCAAGTTCCATTTGCTAAAGCTCAGTCAACTAAATGTTGAACTCTTAACATTTAATATAGAACTCTAAGGGATGGACTATTGGATTTTGGGAGGGTGGTCATAATTCGAAAAAAAAAATTAGATAAATAATCTTTAAAAAAATAATCACAGCAATACTTTCGGGAAAAAAATAATTTGAGAGAGGTGACTGAAAAAAAAACTAAAGTTGTTAGTTTATATATGCACTTTATTTCAACAAAATCAATTGATGTTCCACTTCGGGGATTTTGGAAACAAAAAATATTGTAAACATATTCTGTGTAAAAAAAAAATTGGAATTTGGATAGTAAAAAAAAAATTTCCTTGGTCTGACCCCTCCCAAGATCTAATGGTCCATCCCTAATACTAATTATTGTCTCTCAAACAGTTACATACAGTTTTGCGGTTCATTTTTTCTCCTGAGAAATACTGTCTACCAAAACACAAACATGTTTTTGTGTGTATAGCTTGTTTACAACATTTATTATTATTAATGATATCATGAAAACTTGATGACGTTTTTTCTGGATCCATGTACTTTATTAATACTTTATTAATATTGAAACTAGTTTAAGACCACAAACTAGAACTGTACATGTATATAAAGAATTAGAAAGTAAAATTTGTTGTCACAGGTACTGTCCATGCCACAAACTGGTTAAATTATATGTTGCATTTTTTAATGACGGCTAGCGAAGACAGTGTCATTCATGACTTGTTAGCTGTGGTATACTAAAATACAACACGATTTTTAGAAAGAAGGTCTAATATTATAACAAAGACACATAACACAGAATTTGTCTTAAAATTTGCCATTGACATTCACGAGTGTAATTCACAAAACAACGTAACTTCAAATATGTATGAAGTGATTCTGGTTGTTGTTGACACTGTCTTGTCTAAAATTGTATTAGCAAAGACATTTCTTCCCCCACCCCTTTTTTTCTTGTTCCCTGTCCCGACAACGGCTCCTGCTATTGTGCTATTGGATGTGACAGTGACTACTAGTTGAACGTTCAGCCTGGAATTTGGAAAAAAATAGACATAACATTGTTATTATAAATCAAACCATATAACAGATATAACAAATAATTAATACGTGTCGGTTCATTTGCTGAAGTTAATATTTTTATCATAAGTAAAAGCTACGCCGAATTCGTTAGACAATCGTGTCAACATATTTCATGTGTGTTGTGAAACCCATATAGAACATGATAAATAATTATTCAATGTCATGATGACATCACTCCGACTCACTCAACAACGTCATAAACAAAAGAAAACAATAACATATGTATTAATATCACAAACTTGCTGTATTTTATGTACGAAGTATGTGAACTGCTTGTGTGCGTAAACGTACTGTTGGGCGTGCCGCAGTTAATACAGGTTGACTTCTGGCAAAACGTTCAGCCTGGAATTTGGATAAAATAGACATAACATTGTTATTATAAATCAAATCACATAACAAATAATTAATATGTGTCGGTTCATTTGCTGAAAATAATATTTTCATCATGAGAAAATCGTGTCAACATATGTCATGTGTGTTGTGAAACCCATATAGAACATGATAAATAATTATTCAGATTCATGGTGACATCACTCCGACTCACTCAACAACGTCATAAACAAAAGAAAACATAAAATATATGTATTAATATCACAAACTTGCTGTATTTGATGTATGAAGTATGTGAACTGCTGTGTTGCTTGTATGCATAAACGTAGACCACTATAATGTATATTATGTGCGGGAAATACGGGCGATTCCAGACCTCCGACCATGGATTGCATTTCATGAAAAATTGATATCAAATAAAGCTTAGAAAGAACTCTCGTGTGCTGACGGTATTGGAGGCATGACAAACAAATACTGTATTTATTACTATATTAGAAGCACATAAAGCATTGTGTTTATCGCAGGCAAAATCATTTAAACATGTCTTGTTTTGACCATAGACTTGTCTTTGTCTAGACTTGCTTGCAGTCTGTTACGATTCCGATGAAAAATTATTGAAAAATAAATATAATTGCGTAAACGAAGAGTGGACGCAAAAGTCATATGACCGCGAAATCCCAACAGAATTGCCATCAGTGTAAGCGCCCTCGCATTACCGGCCAGATTTGGGCTTGTAAATTTGCATATTTGTCATACGGTGGGTGGAGCAGCCGAGCCACGGGTCATACCACAACTTCTCGCTGAAGGCTTTGGTATCCTAATTTATCTTTATTTTTCAAAAATTTTCCAACAGACTGCAAGCAAGTCTAGTCTTTGTCCTTTATTTGTACAGTAAGCATATGTGCTTCCAAGAGAGCAAATGATTAGGATGGGTCCAAGAACCTAATGAAATAATGACCATATGTGATGACTTAATATTTTAGTCATATACGTTGTCAGACCACAAACTTATAGCACCAGTTGCATGTCTCTCTCTGCAACAGTACTTAATACATTACAGTTATGCATATTAAGAAACACAAGTAACTAACAGGTCATTAATACAGTGGCACCTCGCTAAGTCGCGGGTGTCGGGATCCAAGCAAAAACCGCGACTTATCGAGGGACCTCGTGAAAGAGTGAGGCCGTGCATTCAAAAACATAAAAAGCACATATAAACCCTCGGTTTAGTTAATTGATGTATCATCACATGTGTCAGGCAGTGTTCAAATAAAATCATGACTATGTTTGCTGTAAACACAGCAGTGATGCAGTTTATTTTGTTTGTGTCCCATAGTATGTTGCTCGTTTGCTTTTGCTTGTGACTTCGACGGTAACAGCTTCCAATATGAACCAGTTTCATCGCAATTATAAACTAGTTTGTCAAAATAACCACCTTCATAGATAATTTCTCTCGGTTTTTCGGGAAAAGTTCTGACAGCGTCCATGTTCGCAGATCGAGCTTTGCCTTGGATTTCAACTCTGAAATAATCAGGTCTGTGGATTATCTAAACGCGTCTATGTACCTAGTTTTATTAACATTTGCTCAGTGATAGGCAAGATATCTGTGGAGCACCTAAATTAGGTAATTAGTGTAAGTACAAAATTTAACCCTAAACTGAATACGTATATGGCTTACCCCTAAGCATCAACATATGTATGTGCCAAGTTTCATTCAATCTGATGAGTGGTTGAGATATAGGTGGAAAAGTTCAATATTGACTAATTTATATGCAAATTAGGCAATTATTATGCACGATTTGAGTATTATCTTAGAGTGTCTATGTACCATGTTTCATTAATGGTACTTGAAAAGCAAGTGAAAATGTTTAAAATTAATATGCAAATTAGGTGATAATACCTAATCAGGTCTGCGCATTATCCCAGAGCTTCTATGTACCAAGTTTCATTGCAACCGTTCAATGGTACATGAGAAACAAGTGAAAATACTTAAATTTGGTTAATTGATATGCAAATTAGATAATTATTATGCAAAGATTTAAATTAAAATATAATCAGATCTGTGCATTATCCCAGAGCACCCATGTACCACTTTTTATTAGTCCCCGTTCGGACGCAGTCCGAAAACGGGGACTTATGTTTTGCCCTGTGTGCGTCCGTGCGTCCGTGCGTCCGTGATCACCTGTATCTCGAACATGCATGGACCGATTGAGTTCAAACTTCACTCATACATCACACATTATATGGGACATATGCACATGCATTTTTTTCATGATCCGATTAACGATAGCCGAATAGCGGCCATTTTAAGGCCGAAAATGCATCAAAATCGCACATTTTCACCATTCCGGACCCGGATCTCAGTTATGCATGGACGGATTTTGTTCAAATTTGGTACATACATTAAACATAATAGGACCTTGATGCACGTCATTTTTGACTCCCATGTGCGAAGCACAAAATGGGAGTCTTTGCAGTTAGTGTGTCTGTATGTCTGTATGTGTGTGTGTATGTGTGTATGTGTGTGTGTGTGTATGTGGTGTCCGACTGTTCCACTGCTATCTCAAGAACCATACATCGGTTTTTGATGAAACTTGGTGCATAGATGCTTCTGGGCCAATGCGCAGATTTGAT